AAGAACAACTAGAGGAACATAATGTAATCAGGCAGTTTGTCTACAAATGCCTCCTAGGTCTAAACAAATGTAAAACATATTTCTAAATCAACAGACATATATTATGTTAACCACTTGCCCTCCTGAGGATTTACCCTCCTTCCTGACCAGGCCATTTTTTGCGTTACGGCACTGCATTACTTTACCTGACAATTGTGCAGTAATGCAATGCTGCACCCAAATGAAATTTATGTCCTTTTTTTCCCAAAAATTGGGCTTTCGGTGGTATTTGATCGCCTGTGCATTTATTTTATGCACTATGAAAAAAAAAGACCAACAATTTTGAGGAAAAAAACAATATTTTTTACTTTTTGCTATTAAACATGTCCAGTAAAAAAATTTTAAAAATCAAATTTCGTCATAAATTTACACCAAAATGTATTCTGCTACATTTCTTTGCTAAAATAAAAATCCCAATATGTGTAAATTCATTGATTTACATGAAAGTTATAGTGTTTGAAAATGGCGGTATAGATACTGGAATTTCTTTTTTTTTTTTTTACTAGTAATGGCGGCAAACAGCGACTTATAACGGGACTGTGGCAGGCATTCTGACACTCGGGGAGAACTGACTAACTGCCACTGACATCCCCAGTGACACCAATACAGTAATCAGTGCTAAAGAAAAAGCACTGACACTGTATAATGGCACTGGGCAGGAAGGGGTTAACATGAGGGGTGATCAAAGGGTTAATTGTGTGCAGGGAGTGTTTTGCATAGAGGGCGGTGTGTGTGGACTTTACTGTAATCACAGTGTTCTGGATGGCTGTACTCTGCAGCCAGTGATTGACAGCCAGGCCCCTACCTGGAAACACAAAATCACGTATATATACGCAATTTTGCGCACATCTGCCACCCTGTAGCAGTATATCTATAGGATAAGTTCGCCTGTGGAGCACCATGTAGTTCATTGAAAACTACAAGTCAACAGCCACAAAGGCTGCTGGGACTAGTAGTTTTCCCATTCACAGAATGCATCGCATGGCCACATTTTTTTTTGAAATTGTGACAGCTAGCGAGGGGAGAGAAGATCAGTCACAGTGGGCATTGAGGGGGTGCAGTTAGATCGTAATGTTACATGTTACACCCTGAATATGCTGGTGGTGAAAACATTTCATATGTACACATATATTCTGCCGCTGTGTCATACAGGTTGTGCATGGGTCAATCAGCTACCCCCATACTGCACAAATTGGTAGGCTGGACCTGTCAGGTGGTCAGCCTGGATGGTCTATGAGGATATACTGTGGTCTGGAAGGAACAGCGGCACACTACAGAGCTTGAGTGGCTGGGTACACTATAGGCATATTGGGCTGTCTCAAGTGGGGTCTTGTGGCTGCATCCTTGCTATTTCCCCCTCCAAATGGGGCCAAATCCAGCATATCCACATTGGGACTATATCGCTCTACTACAGACTTAGCTGGGTTATACAACCATATAGACTGCACTACCTTCTTTCAATTTTGGCACTGCTACAGAGGGACTCTTTGGGGGACATTGTCTAGCTCTCTCAGGATAGGGGGACTAGGGGTATACAGGGACGGGTGGGTGTGGGGTTGGCCCCAGGTGTGGGGTTGGCCCCAGGTGTACTAGAGTGGGGTGGGGGTCTGATCAGGGGGTTCTGAGTGTGTGGGGGATGCGGGGGTAGTAGGGGGGATTGGTAAATGGAACGAATGGGGAAGGGTGGAGGGGTGGATTGAGTAAGAGTACATTCATTTATCAAATGTTTTGATGTGTTACCAATATACACTTACTACATCCATAATAAATACTGCCGTTGATAGCTTGTGAGGTGCTATATCATTTTTGGTGGTTTCTCTTTATTGTGTAACATGTTACGAAAGGTGAACTTATCCTTTAAACAGTTTTCATGGAAACCAAAGATTTATAGCATTCAATTAATTTATCAATGTCTTTCCTAATTTAAACTGATTGCCATCTATAAGCACTGCTGAAACAAAATTGGGGCCAGCAAATCTGATTATTTTAGAAAAATAGGACGCTGCTTTTTGATCTTTCTCACTCAAAAAACATCTCATTTTTTAATTTCATATGTACAGTACATTTTTTTTCAGAGGAGTTTTATTTATAATTTTGAAAGCACATAATTAAAGTCATGATTAAAACAACAAAAAACAAACAACCATGGCATATTTAACCAGTTCTTGACCGTGCTATAGCCAAAAGATGGCTACAGCACAGTCGATCAGTTCTGGGAGGAAGTCTATAGACTACCTCCCAGAACAACTCCTCCCGCGCGGCCCCCTGGTGTGCACATCTAGTGTGCTCTGTGATCGCTGTGTCTTTCAGACATAGTTCATTACAGGTTGTGGTAAAGGTCCAATCACAGAGGCCCTTTGCTATGTGATCAACTGTGTCCAATCACAACTGATCACATTGTAAATAGACTTGCCGATTATCGGCAGTCCTTTCCTCATGTTGTCACAGTGTGAGGAAAGGAGGGCTGGTAACTGGTGATTGTGACGGGACAATTACACTGATAATCAGGGCACTGATCATTATCAGTGCCCATTAGTGCCTTCTCATCAATGCTGCCTATCAGTACCCATCAATGCCAGCTATCAGTGCTTTCTCATCAGTGCTGTCTATCAGTGCCCATCAATGCCAGCTATCAGTGCCCCTCAGTGACGCTTATCAGTGCCCATCAGTGAGACCTATCAGTGCAGCCTCATCAGTGACGCCTATCGTGCAACCTCAGCAGTGCCCTCTCATCAGTGCCCATCAGTGCAGCCAATCAGTGTCCATCAGTGTCCATCAGTGCAGCCTATCAGTGCACATCAGGAGAAAAATTACTTCTTTGCAAAATGTTATTTCAGAAAAACCTCTTTCAAAAATTTTAGTTAAAATGTTTAGAAAAAAAACAGTGGTAATCAAATACCATCAAAAGAAAGCTCTATTTGTGTGAAAAAAAATGATAAAAATTTCATATGGGTACAGTGTTGCATGACCATGTGATTGCCATTCAAAGGGCAACAGTGCCGAAAGCTGGAAATTGGCCTGGGCAGGAAGATGATGAAAGTGCCCGGTATTGAAGTGGTTAAACTAAAAGACATGATACACATTTATCTCTCCACTCTTCCATCTTCATAGTAAAAACAAACGAGGGTTACTGGGAAAACAATCCACAACCTATTTAACAGCATTACCTATTGCAACTTTTACAAAAACTTACCATATAGGGACATACTTGTGAGCCGCTGCCAAACATCAGTTCACATTGCTTATTAGCATCATAAACTACACCAGGTAACTGATTTGAAAATTCATAAACTTGTCCACTGGGCTTATCAAGTAGACATTCCCCATAACCTGTGCTACAATGAAAAATTGTAAGATTAATAGGTATAAAAAAACATATGTATGTACATTTTGTACCTACATAATATTGGGCATTATTACACTGGGAAGAACAGATTCTGCTTCCCAAAGCAACTAATCAGATTCTTATTTTAGAAACACACCAAAAGAAGCATGATTCTTATGACTAACACAGTTAAAGTGCATGTAAACAATAACAATGAAGTTCTATTATTTTTTCCCTTTTGGTCTATCAAATATACCGATTTGCTATATCTGTTTGACGTGCCAAAATATCTGTTGATCCTGCCGGAAATCAAGCAAGCTGATCACTTCCTGTGCTCTCCACCTTTGCTCCACAAAACCCTCAAGCAGTGTTATCAGCCTTGCCTAATTCACCTCCACCATCTCCTCCCTATGTACTGGAGATGAGGAGAAGGAGAGATTTTCTTGTAATCCAAATCAATAGTGAGCATTCTAGGGTGACAACATTGCTCCTCCATAGACAGTTCAGTGAGTGAGTGTTGACACAACAAATTAATTCTGTAGAGACCATTGTATTAAAGTTGAATTCCAGTCATAATCTAACTAAGGTTAACCTATACTATCTTAGTCGAGTAGAGAAATACTGTAAATAGATGGTGGGAGTCACTGGTAATGAAATTATGCTGAATTGTGGAGATGGTTTCCCTACTTGTTTTTATCTCTCTAGATCTTTCAGCTTTTCACGAACATGTCTTTTTATACATAACTGTCAGTCTGTGTCTGACTTTGTTAAGATCTGTCTACATTCGTCTACCAAAATTATCTTTATTTTCTTGTGCATGTCTGTCTTTCAATGTACGAATATCTATAAATCTGGTTGTCTGACATTTTCTATTTGAAGTGCACATAATCAGTCTCAATATTTTGCAGTATGTAGTTTTAACCTCTGTAATGTGCAGATTTCTAGAAATGTTATTTGTCTTGGAAACTGCAGGACTCATTTGTAGCTGTGAAATCAATAGCTAAAGTTATGATATGAGAGAAAACAAATCCTATACAGGCTGTTTGTCTTAAAGCTAATATTAACATACTCCAGATTATGTGATTTAATTTTTCACACACACAGATTTAAAGGATAAGTTCACCTTTCATAACATGTTACATGTTACACCCATATTCAGGGTGTAACATGTTACGAACGTACTGGCCCCTGCACCCCCTGATCCCCGTTGTGACAGCTAACTTCTCCTCCTTGCTATAGGTCACAATTTTAAAAAAAGCATGGCAGTGCAGGGCTCTAGCCGCATCACTCGTATTCTGTGAATGAGAACACTACAAATTCCGATAGCCTTTGCAGCTGTTGGCTTGTAGTTCTAAATTAACTACCACAGTGCTCCACAGTGCCATGGTAGTTCATTGAGCTCCCTATCAGTAAGTATCTGCTTACCCGTACGGTATGTATGAGCAAGCAAATACACTGACAGGACAGAGGGAGACCTGCATGGCACTAGCGATCTGCTGATCGCTGGTGCAATACTTTAGAGGCTCCAGAAACAAAAAATAATAAATTAACTCCTTTTACCTGCAAAAAATGTGCATTTATTTTTTGTTAACCTCCCTGGCGGTATTCCCGAGTGTAGCTCGGGGTAGAGTTTTAGTACCAAAAGCGGTAACCCCGAGCTACACTCGGGCTTACCATGCGGCGCTGCATAGGGAGTCCCTGCAGCATTTACCTTGTCCTTCGCTCCCCGCGATGTGTCCCCTGCAGCATCCCCGGCCATCTCCTCCGGCTGATGCCGGCATCCGGCTTCTGTGTTCCGGTCCCCGTGACGTCGGGACGTACGGGCGGCGGGCGGCTGGCGGCGGCGGGAAATTTGAAAATTTTAAAAAATGTCATTTTTTTCAAAACACATTTTTCACAGTAAAACATTGCTGTTTCAACCCATTTCACATACATATTGTCCCTAGTGCTTTGTCCTGTGCCCTGCCTGCATTTTGTCTGTCTTTCTGCCTGGAAACTTAGAAAAATCCATGGCGTCCAAAAAATGTCCCTTTAGGTCAAAAGCGGTTTTAGACCAGCTAGAGAACAGCGATAGTAAATCAGAACCACTTGCAGAATTGAGTGATAATGATTCGTGGGGAAATTCGTCATCAGACACTGAAAACGATTTTGCGACTTTGCTCAGCAATGTACGAACTTGGCGCTATATTTCAAATGTCAGTGTTTTTGGTTTGATTATATTATTGAATTAAATGTATTATTATTATATTATTATTTTTTATGATTATTTATTAAATTATAATTTATGATTTCGTGTTTCAAATTTTATCATACCCGGGATGTTTACTAGACTCTTGTTCGGACAGATTTCAGTGAGTTATTCCTAAAAATTACAGCCTACAATAAAAAAACTACATATTTCCATGCAAAATAATGGTACCGCTTTCAGCACCAAAAATCTGAAATAATCATACCGCCAGGGAGGTTAAAAGGTGAACTAATCCTTTAAATCTGCATTTTTGCTAGAAAATTATCTAAAACCTCCAAACATCTATATATATATTTTTTTTTAAAGCAAATTCACTGTAGAATTAAATGGTGGGGTGACTGCAATTTTTTTTATGTTGCATGATATTTGTGCAAATGTGTAGCAAACATATAAGTTTAGTAAAAAATACAGCAAGAGGAATTAAAAGGTTTCCGTGCTGTGGATAAGCGTGTAAGAAAGTGAATAAATAAATAAATGGGCGGCTGCTATCACTGAACACAAACCCTCCTAAATGGTTAGGTGTAATAAACTGAAATTATAAGTGGTGTTGCACTGCCAATCCAAAAAAAAAAGAAAAAAATATGAAAAGAAAAATGTGTGCTACAATACACCTCCCCCCACTAGGTATAAGCTCTACACCGCGTTCCAAATTATTATGCAAATTCTATTTAAGTGTCACAAAGATTAAATATTTTGTTTTTCAGTTTGACTCATGGATGGCATTGTGTGTCAGGGCTCTTTTGATCACTGAAAACAATCTCGGACAGCTGTGATAATTAGTTTGGCAGGTGAGCCCAATTTAAGGAAAAACTACTAAAGGAGGGTGTTCCACATTATTAAGCAGAGCACCATTTTCAAGCAATATGGGGAAGAAAAAGGATCTCTGTGCTGTCGAAAAGAGTGAAATAGTTCAATGCCTTGGACGAGGTATGAAAACATTAGATATTTCACGAAAACGTAGGCGTGATCATCGCACTATTAAGAGATTTGCGGCTGATTCAGAGCACAGACGGGTTCGTGCAGATAAAGGCACATTGGAGGAAGATTTCTGCCAGATCTATGCATCGGATTAAGAGAGCAGCTGCTAAAATACCATTACATAGCAGCAAACAGAAATTTGAAGCTGCTGGTGCCTCTGGAGTCCCACAGACATCAAGGTGTAGAGAGTCCTCCAGAGTCTTGCAAGGCGGTGGTGTGTGGAGTCATGTTTTGGGCCGGAATCATGGGAACAGAGCTGGTCGGCCCCTTTAGGGTCCCCGAAGGTGTAAAGATGACCTCTGCAAAGTATGTGGAGTTTATGACTGACCTCTTTCTTCCCTGGTACAGAAGGAAGAACTATGCTTTCCGTAATAAAATCATCTTCATTCATGACAATGCACCATCTCATGCTGCAAAGAATACCTCTGCATCAATGGCTGCTATGGAGATAAAAAGGAGAGAAAGTCACGGTGTGGCCTCCATCCTCCCCTGACCTCAATCCTATTGAGAACCTTTGGAGCATCCTCAAGCAAAAGATCTATGAGGGTGGGAGGCAGTTTATATCCAAACAGCAGCTCTGGGAGGCTATTCTGACATCTTGCAAACAAATTCAAACAGAAACTGTCCAAAAACTCACAAGCTCAATGGATGCAAGACTTGTGCAGCTGCTATCAAATAAGGGGTCCTATGTTAAAATGTAACGTGACCTGTTAAAAATGTTTAAAAAGTTAAAATGTTGTTAAAAGTTTGATTGAAATAGCTTATGATTTCATTAAATATGCTTCAAACACAACAAATGACAATTTTCAGTTCTTTACAACCTATAAAGTGTTTTGAAACTTACTGTGCGTAATAATTTGGAACAGTGCATTGTACGTTTTTTATGTTTAACAAAAATACTGTTATCATTAGGAGGTTTGTTCAATAAAATGTGAATTGTACTCTTAATAGCTGATAACATGAGAATTATGCTGACTGTTATTTACATCAATTATTTAGGTAAATGAGAAAAATATCATTTGCATAATAATTTGGAACACGGTGTATATGCAATCAATAATATGTGTCAAAAGTATAAATTAGAGTAAACCATGTTCGTGGACAGCAGAGCTACTGTGGAAGTAAGTGGAAAGGAAGAAGCAGCACAAGCAGCCAATCAATCCATAATTAAAACACAATACTCACTCTAGGAACTCAGTAACATATTTCTGGCTGCATTTAGACCATGTCCATGGGCTTGTGTCATGACTTAAAATCGCAGACATCACATGAAATTCATTTTTAATTCCTATGTCTTTGCATTTTGAACTATCATCGTGTGGCATATTAAAACTAAAAGAAAAAGTAACAAACAAACCATTAGAGCAGACTGTCACAATTCAAAAATAATGAGACTTGAAGAGAATAATTCAGCATCATCATGTGCAGTAAGAATTCTTTGTGGGTAACAGTACAGTACAATATAACACCACTTATTACAAAATAAAGATGTTATATCCACAGTTATCAGTATACTCTAAACTTCCTTAAAGCTCATTGGAAGTATTAAGGTGGCCACAGAAGGCTCAAATGTTAGCAGATTCCTTCTGAAATGTTGGAAATTCAAGCCATGGTTATTCCTGCATTTAAAAAAACTGAGCCAGTTAGAAAATATTCAACCAAACAGCAACTGTATCTTGTCAAGTGCAGTCATGCTACGTTCACACTAGCTTTGTCAGCAGGCATCAGACAGGCGTTTGGGAAGTGTTTTTAACGCTTCTCAAACGCCTCTGAAAATTCTGCACATGGCAGCACACAGTGCTGTTCACACGGAAGGGTTAGCGTCGCGGCAAAACTGACGCCTCTGGTCGAGTCAGGAGGAGTTGAAGCCTCCCATTCAAGTCTATGGTGTCGCTCCGCAAATGCCTGGCCGGCATTTGCGGTGTGGTCGTGACGCGGTTGCGAGGCGTTTGCGGAGCGTTAATACCATTTAAACTTCATTATAGGAGTTTGTCATGCGGTTTTAATGCTTGGCAAACGCCTATCAACTGCCTCAAAACCGCGCATAGGGCATTTTGGGAGCTTTTGCGGATAGTTAAATACGCCTGTCTAACGCTTGTCAAACGCTATAGGGGCATTTGGCAAGAGTTTGAACGAGCCCTCACTGACAATACTATCTTTACACTGAATACAATAACCAGCTGTGGGAATCAATTGATTTTCTCTTGTTCAGTCCATGGGTTTAATGAGAAAAAAACAGCCATGTCTGGATAGCCTTAACATTTTTTCTTTTTATAGTTCTGTACCAATGTATGTTAAGATTTTGCAGCAGATTTTCACTTGGAAATGCCTCTGAATATGTTTTTGTTTAGTGAAAACGTGTTTTCTACCCACCCACTCCAGTGCTCTATGCTGGCAAGATTAGCAATGGTCATAACCCTACTCAGAGGCATAGCTAGCACATCTGGCACCTGGGGCTGGTCACTTTATTGCACCCCCAACCCCACAAAAAAATGGTATGTGGTAATATAGCAGTGCACACCAAAAATGTGCCCCCTAATTCCAGGGCCTCCTCTTTCACCCCCCAAGTTCAGGGCCTTCTCTTCACCCCCCCTTCAAGTTCAAGGCCTCTTCTGCAGCCTCTGCAAGTTCAGGTCCATCATGCACTCCACCCCCCCCCCCCCCAAGTCTAGGACCTCCTCTGCAGCCACCCTCCTCCAAATTTAGGGTATCCTCTGCACACCACCTCCTAATCCAGGTCCTTTGCCATGCCAACCCCTCTTTTCAAGTCCAGGGCCTCTTCTGCACCCCCCAGTCCAGGGCCTCCTCTACACTCCCCTTCTAGTCCATAGCCTTCTCTTCACTCCCCTCTTAGTCCAGGCCCTCCTCTGCACCCCAACTTCTAATCCAGGGTCTTTGCCACACAACCCCCTCCTTTTCTAGTCCAGGGCCTCCTCTGCAGTCCAGGACCTACTCTGCACTCCCCTCCTAGTCCAGGGCCTCCTCTGCACCCCAACTCCTGATCCAGGGCCTCCTCTGCACCCCCCTTATCCAGTTCCTTCTCTGCACCCCCCAACTTTCTAGTCCAGGGCCTTCTGCACACAAAATCTCCTCTCCAGCTGGGCTGTCTCACAGGCATGAGCTGTTTGGCCACTGAGCAGGACTAGGATCTGCGCTGAATCACTCCACTTCTCTGGCTACCGCTGCTCTAAGTGCCACCACCGCCTGATCAAGTCTAAAAGACAAGTGGCACCAGCTGCAAATACCGGAAACCAAGTAAGAAGGAGACCATACAGCGCATTAGCGCTGAATCACCCTGCCCCCCCCCGCAACATAAAAAAGCATTCCTGAGCGATGCTTCAGTTATTGTTGCTATGTTGTTGAGCAACAGTAGCTGAAGCTTCACTCAGGAATGCTTTTCTATGGGGTGGGTGAGCAGAGTGATGCGGCACTAGTGCACTGTGTGGTCTCCCTCCTACTTGTTTTTCCAGTATTTGCAGAGGGGTGCCACTTGTCATTTAGACTTGATCGGGCGGCAGTGGCACTTAGAACAGCGGTACCCAGTGTGTGCAGGGGTGGCACCCACTGTGGCACCCCTCTTGATGAGTGCTCAGGGCAAGTGCCCCCCCCTAGTTTCGGCGCTGATCCTCCTTGCAAGCTTCCTCATTCAGACTTGTAGTACAGAGGAAGACAGGGGGTGTGTCTGACCAGGTCTGTAAGAGTATGTAGTGTATTGGTCAGTGTAGTCCCACTATGATTATTGGACTGTACAGTCCTATTT